TCACAATGAAACCGTATGACAATGCCATCGCTGTGAATGCCAAAAAGTTGAAACTCAATCCAAATATCAGATAACTCTTGTCAAACATTGTTGTAGCTTTCAATGGTAGACACACACTACTTTCAGAGTATGAAGACACTCCGAACCATGGGAGAATAGCCATCACAATAGCAAACAACCATCCACCAATCATTAAAAGTACTCCAACTTTCGGACTGAGTCTTCGTCCACGGAATGATTGTCTCGTATTGTATGACATTTCGAATGCAATCAAAAACAGGGAAATAATTCCTAGCTCCGAAGCAAAAACAGCCAAGAAACCAGCGGCTCTGCATCCCCATCCAGTTTGCCACCAGACTGCATGACGGTAGTATTCATCTGACATCTTTGCGTCGGCGATGGCAAGAACTGCCAGATACACTCCTAAACAAAAAGTTGAAGAAACTTCTCAAAATCTTATCAGAGCCAACCTGTGAACATATCAGCAACTGACATATTGATCATGTACAAATAATGAATTCTCATTCGCTTCTCATAAACAATTCCTAATAAGATCCAAACAACAATGTTTCCTACGATTGCAGCGAAACATACAATCCAGATGGCAACTCGAAGAAATGGGTATCCGACAATATTTTCGCATGGATTCAAAGCATCTGGTTGTGGGTAACAGGTAATATTTGAATAGTATTTTTGAACTTCTTCACCAATCGATTGGCATGGTTCCGCTCCAATTTCAGTGAAAGCTGAAAAAAGAAGGCTGTGCAGTTATTGTCATAATTTAAAAACTGTGATATTTTTGTTTTTAGTTTTGTGATTTTTTAAATTTTAAAATTTTGTGATTTTTTAAATTTTTTTAAATTTTACGTCGTGCCCTAGTTTTCAATTTTTAGGTCGTAACCTAGATTTGAATTTTTAGGTCATGACCTAGATTTCGATTTTTAGGTCGTGACCTAGATTTCGATTTTTAGGTCATGACCTAGATTTCGATTTTTAGGTCATGACCTAGATTTCGATTTTTAGGTCATGACCTAGATTTCGATTTTTAGGTCATGACCTAGATTTCGATTTTTAGATCATGACCTAGATTTCGATTTTTAGGTCATGACCTAGATTTCGATTTTTAGATCATGATCTAGATTTGAATTTTTAGGTCGTGCCCTAGATTTTAATTTTTAGGTCATGACCTAGATTTGAATTTTTAGGTCGTGCCCTAGATTTTAATTTTTAGGTCATGACCTAGATTTCGATTTTTAGGTCATGACCTAGATTTCGATTTTTAGGTCATGACCTAGATTTCGATTTTTAGGTCATGACCTAGATTTCGATTTTTAGGTCATGACCTAGATTTCGATTTTTAGGTCATGACCTAGATTTCGATTTTTAGGTGATACCTAGATTTGAATTTTTAGGTCGTGCCCTAGATTTTAATTTTTAGGTCATGACCTAGATTTGAATTTTTAGGTCGTGCCCTAGATTTTAATTTTTAGGTCATGACGTAGACATGAATTTCTAAGTCATGACCTAGATTTCAATTTTTAGGTCCTGACCTAGATTTCAATTTTTAGGTCGTGGCATAGATTTCAGTTTTTTGGCGATCGTCTTCTGCACACATGAGGTGACAGTTTTTGTTTATTCCGACAATATTGGGTAATTTCGAAACATACGTGGCAACTCATCATCATCGTTATCATCTGGTCCTGTATAAGTACTATTATCTGTCCATTCCTTCAACAACATTTCCAGAAAATCCACTCCAGAAGTATCACGTTTCCTTCTTCTTGCTAACTCCTGCTGCTCTCGTTTTTCACAAATTCTTTTATGAATTTCTTTAGCATTCCGTTGATATTTTCCGTTATCATTCATCGTCACGTCATCTACATATTTGAACAAACAACAGTGATGCGGATAGGTGAAGTGGGCAGTTTCCAGATCGGTGAAACTCAAAATACTTGGAAGACTTTTGAGAGTTGGGACGTTATTCAAAACTAGGGTCTTCAGTTTTTTCAAACCATTGATTGGTAGAGTGCTGATCGCAGTATGTGAGAGATCTCTGAGAAATCGGAATTTCATTTTCATAGAACTTTTGGAAACTCACAAAGTCTGAAGCCCAGCCATGTTCTTGAAAGCATCTACTGACAGACTTCGTAGGTTTGGGTTGTTGTTTAGCTTTCTGAATATTTTTGATGAGTTTCTTATTGAAATACCATTGTAGCGTTTTATCTATGACGAAGACTTATCACTCACAGTTTCAAAAATTGACTCTCTGTGAATGCATATCCGGATATTTCCAAAAGATTGTTCTCACTCAAAACAACAGTTCTGGCTCTCACGTTTCTGACTTTTGAGTCTCCAATAAACTTGATTTGGTTTTGAGATAAATCAATTCTATCCACTAACACATGATGAAAATCTGTCATTCGAAGAGAAGGCATCGTTCGAAGACCATTGTTTTTCAGAATTCTGAAAACAAGTGTTCTGGTTTACAAGATTCATAAAAACGAAATCTTACACAGTCTGAATCCGAGTGTTATTGACCAGAAGCTTTCCAGAAATTTCGCTAAGGTTTGGACACCTCACCACAGAAAGTTTTCGAAGTTTTGGGAGAACCGTAAAAGAGAAACCATCGATGTGTTCCAAGAAACGGGAATTGTCGATTTCTAGTTCTCGGATTGACGGATAGGAGTCAAAGAAATTTGATGTAATTTCAGAGATTGAAGTGTTATGTAGGTACCTGAATATTCATTTTTTTAGTTTTCTCTCACTTATTTTGTGGTGGTTTTTCATTTAAAGGTGGGGGGACAGGAGATTTTTCGTAGTTTTTTTGTAGCTAGGGTATGCATTCTACCGTGACGGTGTACAACGCTTAATGTCACTCTGCGTACAGCTGTCGTCCTCGTCTTTATGTATGCAAACGGGCGTGCGTTTTCTCTTTGCCCGCGTGCCTCAGTCGGTAGCGGCGCCGCACCCTCAATCATCGCCCTCACAAGTTCAACTCCTCGAGGGGCATCTTTGAACGGAATTTCGAGAACATTATTTT